TCCGTAAATCTGATAAAACTGCAATTTTTTATTTGAATCCCAACTTTCCCAAATGCTTCGCAAATCTTGCATATCATTTCTTTTTAGTGAAACTGGAGCATAACTGGCCAAGTCAGATACATAATCATCATGCAGACTGTCTCCTTCTTGTCTTTGTAAGTCCTCAGCCCATTGTCTTACTTCTGAGTTTAGAATTACTTGATTTGAACACTTTTTATCCATAGATGAAGGCTTTCCAATGAGACAATTAACACAAGGATCAATGTCTTTTATCCTGTATGATGCTATGCAAACAGAAAAATAAAGAACACACAAAAAGAAAATGAATTAGTTTACATAATAAAGAAATTCAATAATAGCATTTACATAAATATTTTTTATTTAAACATGCTTTTCTAAATTTAAATAATTTAAATATATATGTAATTTAATCAGTAAAGAAAATAAATAAACAAGAAAGTTAGAATTCATTTCTCCTGTGTGTACACCTATTTTAGACAAAATTTTGGCATGACTTCGGATCGGAAGAGTTTCTAAGGTTTTTTATATGCAGGGTTTCAGATCTAAGAATAAAGGTACCCGAATTGTCCTTGTTAGTGCCCCCTTGGGTTGCTAACCCTCAATCCTAGTCCATCACAGACTAAAGTGGATCGAGTTCAATTCGAGGGGATACATTTCTCTATGCCTGACACGGAGAATAAATTCTCACGAAGACATAGAGCATATGAACCCCGAAAGTTACTTGCTAGGTCTGACACGGAGAATAAATTCTCACGAAGACGTCGCTTTCACTCTCACTTAAAAGGGACAACTCAATTATAGAGCTTTATGTTATGCAATGCACGTGTTGTGTGTGAGGAGAAATGCTCAAACCTTTGACAGCAAAATAAATAATGAAATAAAATAAAACATATAAATATTATGAAAATAATAAGTAAATATAAAAATTTTGAAAAGATAAAATTAAAAATTAAATATATGAATTTTTAATTTTTAATTAATAGAGACAATTCATAATTGATTTTTAAAAGTTTGACCGGTCCCCAGCGGAGTCGCCAAGCTGTCGTAACCGGTTTTCGTCCGGGCACGAAATATTATACTTGGCAGGGAAATTGATGTGAATAAATAATTTTGAAAATAATTTGGGAGTCGCCATCGGCCTTTTGGATCAGGTAGGTCGAATACCTAAAGATTATTTTCTTTAAAAGAGTTTTAAGAAAACATCAATAAAAAATTAACTGATCTGCGTTTATAACCAAAAATTCGTTTTTTTAATAATAAAAAGGGATTCGTGGTCGGTTACGTTTAGGGAAGGATTAGCACCCCTACAATGCCCAAAATTGGTACTTTTTAATTATAAATTGTCTCTATTATTAAAATTTAAAAATTCAAAAATATATTTAATTTATAATCCTATTATTTCAAAATTATATAAAAAAATATTTATTTATTTAAAAATATCAGAAAAGAACTTCTAGGTGCCTTAAGACAGCTCTTTTCTTTGATATTGATAAATATTAATTTAAATAATATTGTTTAATTTTTAATTTTAAAATATCAGAATAGGACATCCAGTTGTATTAAGACTGTCCTTTTCTTCGATATTAAATATTAAAAAATTTAATTACTATTTATTATATATATATTTAGGAATACATAAAAATATTTAAAAATATAAACAAGTAAAATTGAAATAAAAATACCATTAGAGTTATATTTAAACACAATAAAATGCTAAAAATATTTAAAATAAATGACTAAATTATAGTAAAAGTAAAATTAAAAACCTAATTCATAATTAATCAAAATATTAGGTATTAAACATGCTATTTCTTTATTTTATCTATTTAGTGACTAAAATAAAATTATCTAAAATTCGGATATTATAATAAAATAAATTAAAAATATAAACTAGGGATTAAAATATTATTTATTAAAATTAAGGGATTAAATCTGTTATTTATCCTAAATATATTATTATTTTAATAAAAAGGACTAAAATAAATAAAATTAAAATTTCAAGATCAAATTAAAAGTATTATGAATTCAATTTAGTGAATAAAATGTAAAGTTTACAAGTTCGGAGGACGGCGGACGGGGTTTAACTATTATCTAATTACACGCATAGTCCTTCCCGAAACGACGTCGTTCGGGAAGGCCTATATAAGGTCCAAAACCGGCTGGCCCGAAGGGCCAGCTTCATTTCTTTATTTTTCTTCTCTCTCTCTTCTCTGAGAGAGAGAATTTTTCTCTCGCTTCTCTCTAAAACAGAGAGAAGCCAGCCGGCCGGCCACCGTCAACCGGTGTTCTTCTGCCGCCGGCCACCGTCAAGTCCGCCGCCGGCCACCACATCCTGTGGCCGGAATATTTTTTTTTTTACACTGAAATGTAGATCGGACCGTCCTAATGACGGTTCCGATAATCTTTTCTTTTAAACGGCTCCCGATCGGAGCAAATCTAAAAAATATACCTTCGGTTTGTCGAAGGTTTTGGTGAGATCCGGTGGTCGGCTTCCTCGGTAAGTTTTTCTTCTTCCTTTTTCTTTCTTTTCTGTTTTTTTTTTCTGCGTTGTTGTTGAGATCGTTGGTAGCTTTTTTTTATTTTGTTTCTCTGTATTTCTCTTCTCTTCGTTTCTGTCTCTCTTTTTTGTCTCTGTCCCCATTTTCTTTTCTTGCAGGTTCGGGTGGTGGCTTTTATAGCCACCACCGGTGTGGCCATCGGACCGGTCCGAAGAGGGGGTTTCGGTGAGTCACCGGACTACCAGTGGTGACTCACCCCTTAGCCATGGCGTGGACGGCTGGCGTTGGAGCTTCTGGAGCCTTCGTTTGGGACGTGGCAGCGGCGGAGGCGGCTGGAGCAGCAGCGGCGGCCGTGTGGCCCTAGGGTATCATACCCTAGGGTTTCCATCTGGAGGCTCTTGGACCGTTGGATCATACCAGATCCAACGGTCAGTCTGAGGCGGCTGGCTAGAGGCGGCTGAGCATGGGATTAGGGTTAGGAAACCCTAACTGAAACCCTAAATGTTTTGGGTTTCAGTTTGGTTTGGGTTTTGGGCCGGTTGATTGGGCTTTGTAATTTAATATTATTTATATATGTATTTAATATATATTTAATAATAATAATAATAATAATAATAATAATAATAATAATAATAATTATAATAACAATAATAATAATATTTATAATATGGGTAAAAAATTAGTATCTTCACTAATGTAATTAAAATGCGGAAAAACACACTTAGAAGATTAAACCATTTTTTTACCAAAAAGTGAGATATTAATTAGATGGAGTTTTATGTGATTTAGAGAATAAAGTAACATCTTGTAGTCGATAATTATTTTATAACTTTTAATAGTTAGGGATTAAAAAAAATAACGTCATATAACCGAGAGATCATTTGTGTAATTTATCCGGAAAACTAAATCAACTCAATTTCGTTTATTTATCATATATTGAACCAATTTTTATCTATTTTTTAATTAAAAAATATTTGTGTTTATAACACTGTTTCAAACTTATTGATAGAAAAATAGAAATAAAATTGAAAATAATATATATAATCTATTATAAGTGAGTATTCATTCGATAAGAATTTTGATGTAATGTATAATTAGAGCCCTGATATCTAATGCCTAGAATTCTATAACATTTCAACTTTATGTTATACGTACAGAATTGTTTTTCTTATTTTTATTAGAATTGTGACACATGCAAATTTGTGATATAAGAGTATAAAATAAAGGATAAACTACAAGTGTAGTATCTAAACTATTAATTTTGTTTTGTTTTGATACTTAAACTTTATTTTTTTCATAATCATACCTAACGTTTAGTTTATGTTTCATTTTAGTAGTCGGTATTAAAAACTTAACGGGAATGTTATACGTGGCATTTTTATGGATAAATTACATAATTTATTACTCAACTATCTTCTCACTCTTATTTTGGTCATTGGAGTTTAAAATTTTTTAATTTAATAACTTAATTTTCAAACTATTCATATTTTAATCACTCTAACTTATTATATTAATATTTTCTATTATGTGACAACTTTTAATTATTATTTTATTAATACATGATTAAAATAAAAAAAAAAGAGTGAGGTCGTGAGGGTGGGATGAGGGGTTTGTGATTTAGGGTTTGTAGTATAATTTTTGGGTTTGGGTATAAGTTTAAATTTGTTTATTTTTTATTTTAATTATATATTAATTAAATAATAATAATAAATGTCATGTCATAAAAATATTAATAAAATAAATTAGAGTGATTAAAACATGAGCAATTTGAAAGTTGAGCAATTAAATTGAAAAACTGTTTAACTTTAGTGATCAAAATAAGAGTGAGAATATTGTTGAGTGATAAATGATGTAATTTACCTGTAAAAAATACCACGTACAACAGTTTCGTTGCGTTTTTAATGGCGGGGTACTAAAATGAAACTTAAACTAAATATAAGGTTCTAATTTTTAAAAATAAAATAAATTTTATATATAAAAAAAGAAGCAAAAGTAATAATTTAGATACTAAACGTGTATTTTATGTAAATTAACTAATGTAAATCTACGTATATGTATATAATTAAAATTTATTGATTTAATTGTTAATTTTATATATAGAATGATATATATTTAATTCATGTAATGTTGTCTCCTCGTATTTTATATTTATTAAATGATTAGTGTAGAAGAACCTTGAAACATAATTTAGTCAAATGAGAATAAAATGAATATAGATGATTGAAATGGTAATACAACTTGTATCATGAGATTATCTATAAATTACAAACAGTACATTTACCATCAGGGGCGAAGTCATGCTTCGTCCAAGGGGTGCCACTGTCCTTAATTTTTTATTATTAGAAAAACATACTAAAAAATATCTATTTAACTCTTCTAACTTTAATTATTAGTTAATACTTTATCTCCTGAGTTGATATTCGACTCCGTCCATATTTACTGTATAACATTACAAGAATGAATTTCTTTATCGTAAGTAACCTAAACTCCAGCAGAGGATGATATTATTTGAAGCTGCTTTGCTATCTCTGTTTTGCGGAGTCTTCTTTCCTCGGATAACATTTTCGCGAATCTGCAACGTTACGTGTGATTTTAAAAACTAATTAATTAAGTAATTAAAACGGAACTGCAGAAATAGGTGAGTGAGTAAATATGTTGTTTATCCTTTGTTTTTAAAATAAACGAACCTTGAGAGAGCTTCTTGATTGGTTCCTTCATCGTCAACAGGTTCGAAAATCCCAGTGTCGAGATTCATTTTTGAAACGGGTTTCTGCAATAGCTGTTCACCAATCTCCACAAGGCTCATCATGTTCTTTTCAGTAGCTTTATCAGTTGATGATGCATCCCCAGTTAATTTATCATCCTATACAACACATTCCAATTTCAAAACATGTGGTTCAAATTGAACCAAAATGTGTTTTTGTGATTAAAAAAAAGGGTACCTGAATCCGAAGATAGTTTTTCTCAGATTTAATTGAGCTGAAAATCATTGACATGTGAAGATCAACCATGTCTGCTCCAGCAAAAGTCAAAGCGTCCACTAATGGAGAGCTTCCTTCACTGTAAAGCCATCCAAGAATTCCCCATTTTTCTGCCGTTTTGGCATTGTATTTCTTCTCCATCTTGCTGGTTCCTGTGCCTAGAGAAATTATCATGTAATTCTCATAGTTAAGTGCTCGTTTAACCGTAACTCCATCTTCTTGGTCACCTGGAAACGCTAACCCTGTTGGCTTCAATGCTAGAAGTGCCTACAAAATTCAAGGCCATCAAGGATTTAAATTACTATTGGGGTTGTTTTACGTTTATCGCGAAAGCGAATATAACGGATGTTTTCGCGAACATAATGGATGTTATTTGAATTTGTGGTTTAGAAATCAGGAACATGGTTTTAAAAAACGGTCCGCGATCGCGATTTTGGCCGTGATATAACGGTTTCGCCGCAGTTACTCGCGACGGCCGCAATCACGGTAAATCCGAAATAACCGAAAATGCGACCGCGATTTAAAACCCTGATCAGGAATGAAACAAAACTTACTGGATTATTTGCAGCAATCCCTCCATCAACAAGGTGAAATTCCCTGTCAGTTCCTTGAGAATCTTGGGTTTTAAATCTGTAAGCTGGAAAGTAAGTTGGAGCTGAAGCTGTAGCAATACAAATATCCGACAGCAAAGCATCTTTAGAAGTATCCCTCTTTGCCTGCAACATTCCAAAATCTGTCATTTCCTGCTCAAAATCATTACATTTTTCTCAAGTTAATGGAAACCAACCTCAAACGTGGTGAAAACAGTGGGTTGAAGCAATTTGATGTCGAACGTGGGTATAACAACAGAGGTTAAAGTCTGGTGAAGCCTTCGATCTCCTAGGACCTTGCAAATGGTCTTCCTTAGATACTTCCCATTGTATTTAGGCCTCATTAGAGCATTCATTTTCATCGTCATCCTCCTGCTCAACAAATACTCATTTTCCATTACAGTGAATGAGAAAACAAAAGGTCTAAAATCAAATCAAAACAAGTTAAGAAACTGATTCAGTACTTGTAGTTGTTCTGAGGAAATATCATGGGGCCATGTTTGAGATAAAACGGAGCAATATCCTCTCCTTTAAAAAGAGGACGTCCATTTTCGTCTGGAGCTGTTAACATGGCTGACATTAGACCCCCTGTGCTAGTTCCTGCAATCACATCAAAATAATCTGCAATCCGAGCATCTTCTCCATCTAGTTCCTGGGGGGGGGGAATAAAGACGTGAGAAGAAATCGAACCAATTGCTCGATTTGAATGAAAAATTGATAACCAGTCGACATACTTGTAACTTGTGTTCGAGGAAACTCAAGATAGTTGCAGGTATAATACCCCTAATTCCTCCACCATCAATGCTTAAAACAGTGATCTTTTGACCATAACTTGTTGATGGCATAGCGTTGGAGGCTTCCATGGTATGAAAATGGTGAATGTAACAATGGAAGGTTGAGCTTGTGATTAAATAGATTTCTTCACCAAATGCTAGCAATCACATGTTTGAAAGTTGGGCAAGGTTTGGCCTTTCCCTTGCATTACAATTCAAAGGTTAAAATTAGGCCTTTTATACTCTTACAAACGCTACTTCTATGTCATCCTTACAAATCCAATTACTTGCATTATCCATTGTGTTTTTAGGTTAAATTATATGATTAATATATGTTCTATATTAAAATCAATTTATCATAATATTTCAAATATTAATTATGACTTAAATAATATATAACTAAATCACATGACTTAAAATTCTCAAATTTTAATTTAACAAATTTTACAGTTATTGTCTAGATTATGATCAAGATTCAATATTTGAAAAGTATAAGGACTAAAATTAATCAAATTAAAATATAAGAAGTAAATTTATAATTTATGCATAATACAAATAATAATCATAAATTAACTTTCTTGAAATTCTTTTTAATAGTTCGAGAAGATTACAAGAACCTAAATCCCTATGAAGAATAACCTTCTCTTTTATTATTGAGGTCACTCAATGAGTTTTTCTTAAATATCTTTTCAAATATAGTATATAATATAAATATAAAAGGCATAATACCAAAATTAGCCCTTAACGCTTACCAAAATAGTAATTTTACCCCTATTTTATTTTTTTGGATCCTTTTAGCCCCCAACATTTCATTTTAGGGCAAAAAAGCCCCTAACATTTGACAGAATAGTCACTTTATCCCTTGTTTTTTTTGTAGAGGGGGTATTTAAGCCCTCAACGTTTCATTTTAGGTTAAAAAATGTTCCTATTTTGGAGCGTTGATCGTGTGTTAACTAATGGTTTTCATCTATAGAGGGAGTTTTTTACCCCAAAGTGAAATGTTAGTGGGTTTAAAATGCTAAAAAAAGAATATGGGCCAAAATGACAATTTTGATAAATGTTGGGGCCTATTTTTGGCATTATGCCAATATAAAAGGATATAAATATTGGAAACACAAACGCACAAGTGACATGTCGTTTTCCACATGAATAAGCCTTACATAGTGACCGTATCATTGTTGTCTTTTATCTGTTTCAAGTTTAATTGATGAAATCAAAGGATGACTAACCCCATGCCCACAATACTCCTTTGTGTTTACATCCAAAATGGAAATATATTGTTTGTTGAAACCACCTTTCTCTTTTGGTAATGCCTAAAAGAAACATCTTTTTATCTTTTGTAATCTTAAATTTGCCTAAAACCTTATGGAGAATTGAATGGTTGAGAGAAAGCCTAAACATACTAAGCATCAAGTGTCAACCAAGCATTATTATTTTCTTCACCAATCATTCATTAATTAACACCAAACTAAATCTTACATTTTTACACTCAACAGCCAATATTTTAATTGCTTTTCATTTACTAATACATTTTAAAAAATGGTTGGAAATGTATGATAGAATTATGTTGTTTTCTTATTATGTAGTTAATGCATCATTAAGTTTCTGGTTTAAAAACAAAACAAAAGATATATTTGATATATAAAACCTATAGATATTTTTCATTGATGAATCATAAAAAAAATAATGGATGGTTAACTACAGTTGCTATCTATATGGAGTTTCAATCTGAACAAATAGCAAAAACAAATGATTTAGATGATACAACCCTGAATGGCATCTTGTGCAAGACGACACCGGATGTGGATGATAACTCCGGAAGGGAAGATACTCTGATCCTGCGTCAAGTTTCACATTGGGTCAATATTTCAGCCCTGTCTTCGGTTATTAGAATTGAGTGCTCAAACTGAGCTGACAAGCTCCCATCTTGTGTGACCACCGTCCAGTCATCGTCCCACATTACTGGATTAATGCTGCCCATTGTTAGCATTGGTTCTGCAAAATGCGGAAAGTACATGAATGAATTTTGATCAACCATCATTTAGAACATGGTTCAAGGATGAATGACAATACCGATAGTAAAGGTCTGATTCAAGACCATAAGTCCACCGTCATTGTTTCCTGAAATTCAAGCGTAACGTTATTAAGATGTGTGCTTCCAGTAGAAAATGCTTGTGTATGTGTAAAATCATAGAAAATTTAAGAAGGAAACTCCATTACTGAGAACATCTACAATTCGAAGACAAGTGAAATCATAAGTAAGAAGATTGAGGTTAGCATAATTACTGAAGTGTTGAACAACAGGATCAGCATGAAAAACCCGGCCGACTCCATGTCCAACAAATTGCCGGACAACACCATAACCAAATTTATCTGCATGATCACTTAGGAAAACATAAATTACAAGTGAGCATCAAACATAGGAGTTACAGTTATATATATTATACGCAAAACAAAAAGGGAAAAAAACCTATGTCATCTTTTAAATCAGAGACAGAATGTATTTCTATTCAAAAAAAAAAAAAGGAACAGAACGTATTAAAAGAGAATTGCAATTCTTCAAATATGAAAATGGAGGAAAAAATCAATGGTGATGTTCAAGTTTTTACTGCAACAAGACGCAGCATACTCTACATAAGTATCAAAATTTATGTCTACTGTACTGGCAGATTCAAGCATCCTTTGTATTTCTCAAATATTTAGTACTTTTAAAAACTGACCATAGAATGATAAAAAGGCAATATGATATTCAGTAGATGTTTAAAAAAACATAGATACAAATATGAAAAAAAGCATAATAATCCGAAAATGCAGCATATTACCATATGATATATATATATATATATATATATATATATCATGCACAAATGCTATATATTATTGGGTGCCTTACTGAATTGTTTTGCCAATTTTCTTGAACTCCACTCCTGGTGCACATATTGCTATAGCTTTATCTAGGCATTCTTCGGTTACCTAATCATACATCACCATCAAGAATACTAGTAAACATGTAATTGGGATAGAAAACCATAGGTGAACTAAAACTTAAGTCTAAAAATAAATTTCAAAAAAAACCCTTGGTAACTAAAGGGAAAAAAAACTCACAATCGAGTATATGAACCTTACTTCTGTCAAGCAAGTTAGACTTAAAAAATTTTAACATGAGTGAGAAAGCTAGAGAGAGAGTGAACGTGGAGTTCGAAGGGAATACTTCTTTAGACAGAGATAGAGCAGAGTCGAGGAGTTCCGTGGGTAGCGTTCGTAGATAATCTCAATAAGGGAGTGCATAGAAGTGCTTTATGGAAAAATTTTAGCTTTCATGGCAAGGTGATTAAGGTGTTTATCCCGTTTGTTAATAGGAGACCTAACTATAAGGTTAGTACTTTTGCCTTTGTGCATTTTGCAAGTAAGGAGGATTTGCTAAAGGCAGTGGAGCGTATGAATAACGTAGTGATCGATGGGAGGAGGGTATTGGTGTCGATTGCTAAATATCAGAGAAATAGTGTTGCGAGGAACTTGAAGCGAAATATTGTAGTGGGGTCAAGAGATGCAGGTGCAGAGGAGTCCAAAAGGAAAAAACCAATACCCAGAGTGGATGATGTAGGGAAGAAGGAGCTATTAAACAAGTTTCATGATGGTAGGACATATAAGGATACAGTATTGGGGGTGAAAAAAGTTGAGGGCCAGCAGATGAGTAACGTTGGAGAAAAGAGGGAGGTGAAAAAGTCTCTGCAAGTGTTTATTCCAATGGAGGAGAGGGTATGGCTAAGGTCGTCTTTAACAGGAATTTGTAAGGGGATTTTTGAAGTAGAATTTGTGCAGGGGGCTTTAAGGTCTAAGGGTTTCAATGTTAAGGTGGCAAGATGGGGATATGCAAAAAATGCATGTTTGATAGTCTTTCATTCAGTGGAGGAGAAAAAAGCAGCAATGGAAAATAAGTGGGAGGAATTGTCCTTCTGGTTCGAAAGGTTGGAATCTGTTGTGGATGAGAATGGTGTTCCATTAGCTTATTGTACAGTTTCCTTGATAGGTGTTCCATTAAATTGTTGAACGGTTCCATTCTTTACAAACTTGGCAGCGAGATGGGGCAAGATAGTGAAGATCCAGGAGCAAACAGCTCAGAAATCAGATTGTAGAGTGGCACATTTGTTGTTGAGGGTGGAGAGTCCTTTTGATATTCCTTCTCAGGTCTCCGTCAATACGTATGGAAGATCGTTTACCATTAAAATTAAGGTGGAAGGGAGTGATGATTTTTTTCCGATCTTGGATAATATGGTAGAAGAAGACGGAACAGTGGATCCTTGGGAGGAGAATTCATCGGACTGGAGCCAGCGGGATATTCAGGAAGGACAGGAAGAGCAGTTGGGGCAGCAGTCCTTGTCAGATTCACAGGACAAGGTTGAAGCATGGGTTCGGGGGGGCTCAACAAGGAGATGATACGTTTATCGATGGAAATTTGAAAGGAAAAGTATGCGCTAATAAAATGTTGGCTGGTGGCTTTTGCTCTGAGGAGACAGCAGTAGGTGGTGTTCCCAGTCAACAGGGAGTGTCAGAGGATTTTAATGAAGGGAGAGAAAAGGAGAGGAGCATTGGAGATATCATAGTGGGCCAGGACACGGTTGCTCTAGAAAATGGGCTTAGTAACAACATGGATAGGAGTCCAACAAATGGGCTTGTTCAAGGGAATTTAAGATCAAATATTGCTGCCATTAATTCTGCAGAAGTAACTAATGTTGAAGGATCTGTTTTAAAGTTGCAGAACGGGTATGTCTCACCGGTGATGCGTCGTCATTCTAGGAAATGCGCGTCAGTAAGTAAAATTGAGAGAGGTTTTTATAAGAATGTATATTTCAGGAGGTAGGAAGTTAAGAGTTGTAATGGTAAGGAGTCTGAATCCTTTGAAGTGAATGAGATAGAGGGGGTGGCAGAGGCTTTGGAATGTTGGAATGTTTCCAAGTTATTGGGTGTGAAGTTCAAAGGAGGACAAAAAGCTTTTATGGACAAAATGGTTCCTATGGTTAATGAGAGGAAATCGAAAGAAGGAAGGTAGTTGTAATTGGGAAGTAAGGTTATTGTATGTTAATGATGGTTGAGTGGTCGATGTTGTCTTGGAATGTTAGAGGGTTGGGTAGAAGGGTGAAAGCTCGAGCAATTAGGAGATTTGTTGATGAGAAGAAACCTACAATTGTATTTTTGCAAGAGTCAAAACTGGAGGTTGTCAGTCATATGTTGGTGAGGAAAATGGGGGGTAAAATACTTACTGGTTCGACAATATCTACTTCTGTAAGCTCTGCTGGGGGTCTAATAACCTTGTGGAATCAGAAGGAGTTTGTGGTGAAGGATGTAGTCATTAATAGTAGATTTGTAGCAACAAAAGGGATTTTGGAAGGAGTACCAGGAAGATGTTGTTTTATTAATGTGTATGACCCTAGTGTGGATGCATATAAAGAGATGTTTTTCAAGGAATTACTATCATTTTTGGATAATGTTGATTGTCCATTAAGCTTAGGAGGTGATTTCAATGCAGTGTTGTCACAGGAAGAGAAAGAAGGAGGGGCTGTAAATTCGGTAACAATGAATATGTTTAGAGAATTTGTGAGTAAGGCCAATTTGTTTGATTTGCCTGTCTGGAGGTCGTTTTACATGGTGCAATAATAGGGAAGTTCCCACGTTTGAGAGGTTGGATCGGTTTTTGGTTGATCAGAGATTTCTAGCTTGTTTTCCAAAGATAAGTCAGGCATTGCAGCCAAGGTCTGTTTCAGACCACAATATTATTCTGTTGGAGAACAAAGAATGTAATTGGGGGCAGAAACCGTTCAGACTGTTTAATTATGTAATGGAGGAGGATGGGTTTAGTGAGATGATGGAGGAGTTAGTTAAACTTTGTAAAGAGGAAAAAGGGAAGCCCATGTCTAAGGTGTTGAAGAGGGTGAAGGGTGTGGTAAAGAATTGGTTTGGGAGGGGTTATTTAGAGTTACCGGGAAAAATCAGATTATTGGAGAAAGAAATTCAGGATTTGGAATTGGAAATGCAACAAGGTCTTTCTTCGGTGTCAATGAAATCAATAATTGAAGCAAAAAAAGAACTATGGGAGCTACAAAAGAAAGAAGAATCAATATGATTGCAAAAATCAAGACTGAAATGGAGAATGGATGGTGATAAGAATACCAGATTTTTTCATCATAGTACTGCAGTTAGAGGAAGAAGAAATGGCATTAAGTCCCACAAGGTGGGTAATGAAGTAGTAGAAGATCCTACCTTAATTAGAGCTTCAGTGGTGGAGTTTTTTAATGGTCTGTTTAGTCAGAATAATTCTTTGGAGGCTGAGGAATTAGATCTGGATTTTCTAAAATTATCGGTAGAACAGAGTTTAGCACTTGAGAAGCCATTTTCAGAGTAGGAAGTTTGGGAAGCAATTGCCATTTTGGACAGCAATAAAGCTCCTGGGCCGGATGGTCTGAATTTAGGTTTTTTTAAGAAATTCTGGTCTTCTTTGAAGGATGATATTATGTTGTTTTTTAATGAATTTTATGGGGGGAAGGAATGGGATTTGGAAGTGAATCATTCATTTATTTCCCTTATATCTAAGAAGGATAATTCGAAGGGGATGGAGGACTTTAGGCTTATTAGCCTTGTGGGAGGTTTATATAAAATCTTGTCAAAGGTCCTAGCTAGAAGATTCAGTTTGTGCATTAATGAGATAATTAGTCCATCTCAATTTGCGTTTATTCAAGGGAGGAATATTATGGACTGTTCGTTTATAGCAAATGAAGGAATCGATTTTTGGAGGAAGAGAGGGTTGGAGGGGGTAGTCTTTAAAGTGGATTTCAAGAGAGCCTATGATTTGGTAGATTGGTTGGTTTTGTTGAAAATATTGGGTAAAATGGGGTTTGGTGAAAAATGGTGCTCTTGGATGTATCAGTGTATGTCAACTGCTTCTATTTCAGTTTTACTAAATGGTACTCCTACGGACAGAATTCGCATTGAAAAAAGGACTTAGACAGGGTTGCTCGTTTTTTTTTATAGAAGATTAGGCCTCATTAAAAACCCCCTTTTTCACCTTCATGTTATAAAAGTAACATGAAGGACCAGGAAATGAGGAAAAGAGTGCCTAGAATTTATTAGATGAAACAAAGTACAACAAAGGCAGACCCTAAACATCTGCAAACACCACCAGAAATTACATAAAACTTAAACACAACAGCTAAACATAGGAAATAAAATTATCTACTCAATACAAGCAGACAAAAACCATTACATCACCCTATCCCATCCTTAGCTAATTTGTCATCTTTCCAATTTGCTCGTTATCCCCCTTGTTATTCAATTTGGGTGGCGAGTTGCTTCATTTGTTGTTAACTAAAGCAGTGGATATGGGATTGTTTTCGGGCTTTGAGTTAGGGGTTCAAGAAAGTTCTTTCAAGCTATCGCATTTGCAGTTTGCGGATGACCTTATTATTTTTTCCAAAGCTTCAATCCGGGATTTGAAGAATATTGGAAGTAGGGATGGCAACTCAACCCGAATCCGACGGGTTCCGACCCGACCCGACCCGATCGGGTCGGATTTTTTTAAAAAAATTTCGGGTTTGGGTTCGGGTCGGGTCGGGTTTTTTTTAAATGTACTGTTCGGGTCGGGTCGGGTTTAGGGTGAAAAAAATCCGACCCGACCCGACCCGAAAAATATATATAATTTTATCCTATATATTTAGGAATAATTACAATAATGTCCCTCCATATATAATTTTTTTCAATTAAGTCACTGTTTTCATTGAATAAATTTTTTTTTATTATTATTTCGGGTCGGGTGAAACCTTAATTTCGTCGGGTCGGGTCGGGTCACGGGTGAAAAACCCTTTCTTCTCGGGTCGGATCGGGTGGCCCAAAAACCCGACCCGACCCGACCCATTGCCATCCCTAATTAGAAGGGTGTTACTGATCTATGAGTTATTGGTGGGACTGAAGATTAACTTAGTTAAGAGCAGAATTTTTGGAATAAATGTTGAGCAGGAGGTGCTAGATGGTTGGTCTAATGAAATTGGCTGCTCTGTGGGTAATTTTCCAGCAGAGTATCTAGGATTGCCTTTGGGGTCCAAGAGAAACTCTGTTGCAATGTGGGAGCCTATAGTACAGAGGTTTCATAATAAGTTGACTGGTTGGAAGGTAAACTCTCTAGCGTTAGCAGGTAGGGTGGTGTTGGTTAAATCTGTGTTGTGCTCCCTTCCCACTTATTTCCTTTCTATTTTTAGAATTCCAAAAACTGTGTTGCAGAAATTAAATTCGATCATGACTGCATTTTTATGGGGGGGTTCGACTGATAGAAGAAACATACATTGGGTGAACTGGAATTTGGTCAGTAAGTCGAGAAGGTTGGGGGGTCTAGGGATTCCGAATTTAGCTATTCTGAACAAAGCACTAATGGGAAAGTGGGTTTGGAAGTTTGTTTCTGAAAAGGATTCTTGGTGGAAGAGGGTGGTTTGTTGTGTGAACAATTTGGATCTGAATTCCAAAATGTTGGGGAATTCTTCGACAGCTCGAGCCTCTTGGATTTGGAGAGGTGTGATTAATAACTTCTTTTCTAGTGATGACTTTGGAGATTGCATTAGGAGAAACTTGCGTTTGAAAACTGGAAATGGGCATTCTGTGGAGTTGTGGCATGTTATTTGGTTGGGAGAAGTCCCTCTTAAAGACTTGTTCCCTAGATTGTATGCACTGTCGAATAATAAAGAGGGTAAAGTGGTGGAGTTTAGGGTGAACAGTGCAACAGGCTGGGTGTGGGACATTCAAATGAGAAGAAATCTAGTGGATTGGGAGATTGAACAATGGCTGCAGCTGATTTCTATGTTGAATAACATCTCACTTTCTCTTGAGGAGGACAATTATTGGATTTGGTTAGGGAATGGAGAGCGTTGTTTTTCAACTAAGTCTTGTATTAATAATTTTTTTGATACGGCTGGTAATCAGGGGATTCAAGCTAAGTGGGACAAACATATTTGGGTCGGGATTGCTCCTCCACGTGTTGAAACTTTCATATGGCAAATTGTTCACCAGAGAGTGGCGGTTAAAGAGGAATTGTTGAAGCGAGGAGTGGCTGGGATTGAAGACCCTTTATGTTCGTTGTGTGGCAGGTTTGTAGAATCTGTTTCTCATATTTTTTTGCACTGTGAGGTAGTTTGGGGTTTGTGGTCTAGATTTGTGAATTTGTTGAATGTTTCTTTGGTGATCCCTAATAACATCTTAGAATTTATTATTATGTGGGATGAGCTACAACAGAATTCCAGTATTTGGAAATTTATCGTAAGGGCGGTGTTGTGGACTATATGGAAATGTAGGAATGAGGTTATCTTTATGAAAGGAAAGCTGGATGTGGTAAGGATGTTCTTTATTGCTCGATTTCGAACAGTCTCTTGGTTTGCTGCTAGTTTTGACGCTGTGCAGATCCCTTTCGACTCCCTAGTGGGTGACTTAACTCTTGCTGATTCGATAGGTAGACAGAAAAAAAGTGGATCCAATTCTACTTGTTGGGTTCCTCCACCAGATGGGTTCATAAAGATTAATGTTGATGGGGCGATGGTGAGTGGTTGGAATAAAGGTGGTATAGGTGGACTCATAAGGGACAGCAGAGGTGTGTTGATTCACTGGTTCTCTAATAAGGTTGGGGGGGACCTCCGATTATGGCAGAATTATTGGCGATAAAGAGGGGGTTGTATATGTTGTCTGATTCAGGTGTTGGTCTTAATAAGAGGATTATTTTAGAATCGGATTCAAGTAATGCTTTGAAGTGGATCAAGAATCCAGAACTAAGCTCCCCTATGTTTCTATCCTTGGTGAAGGAGATTGTTTCTATAATGGAAGGGAAGGATATTATGTTAAGGCAAATCTTGAGAGTTGCTAACTGGGAAGCGGACAGACTAGCTAAGGATGGTATAGGATGATCGTTAGGCTTTGTTTTGGTGTGTTAGGGTGCTTGACTCCCTTACATTTCTGCAGGGATTGTGTTTTCTGTCTTATGTAATTAGTGTTAAGTTTTTGTAGGAAGAAGTGTTTAAGTCTTATGTAATTAGGTTTTTGGCTTCTAAAGTTTGATGTAAGGGATGGCAGTGTATTATTCTCCTGTTTAATAAAAGTAGTAGGCACTCTTTTCCCTCTTCGTTTTCCCTTCATGTTACTATTGTAATATAGAGGGCAACTAGAGGGTTTTTAACGAGGCTTAATATTCTATCAAAAAAATCAAAAAGTACAAAAAGGAACACTTAAAAATTCAAAAAGTAACAAACAAAGATAATGCAAGACGATGGCTGAGAAAAAGACAAAGGATCAATAAGTTCGACAAAACGAAAAGCCCAGTTTATATCATAAATTAGTTACCCTCAGCTTTCTCAATCAGATGAGAAAATGGAATTTTTTTATACATTTTTCTGCCTTGGTTTTAGGACAAGATTGGGGTTAAAATGGTTCTTTTTCATGCCTTCCTTTACAGTAATAATGCCCATATACTAGCTCCTTCTAAGAAGAACCATTCCCGTTTAAGTCCGGCTATTGAGAAACCTTAGTCTTTCGCGAGATCAGATCACGAGCAAGATGATTAAACCTCTACATATTGGCAATGACTGTTTTATTACTTATATTATGCTCCACCATCAAAAGTCATTTATCTTTATCGATCTTTTCAGAGAAGAAAATCTTGTGGAAGAGGGATCTGTTTATGGATCTGCCCAACCATGACAAGATGTTATAATTTAAAAGTAAAGCACATTTTAATTGAAAAGAACCATTTATCTAAATAATATTACAACTTCATATTACTCTTTAGAGATAAAAGTACATATAGTTACCTTTACGAGTTTCCTTGCTTCTTCATCAACATCTCCACAAAAGAAAGTTGCCGATGTATCACCGTGATAACCCTACACAATCTCTATCCCATAAATGACCACTATAAAACATAAAAGGGCAGAAGTTGAAAATTACAGTGGAAAATTATCATAAAAGAAACCACCAGGTCAACATCTGTTAACCTCACACAGAAAAATCGACTCAGAAATATGTGGTAAGACAATCTATGAACGAATTCAATGAGAAAACCACTTAGGGACAAGCCTGTTCATTCCACTCAGAAATCAGAAGTAGAAAATGTTACTTACATTAAGATACACAGTGACATCAATATTGATTATATCACCATCCTGCAAAGAAAATGCAGACTAGTGATTTTCTATATTCGCAAACAATAACATGACAATACAGGAAGCAGTTTAAGAACCAAAACAGAAAGGACCTCAAGTGGACGAGAATCTGGTATGCCATGGCAAATGCATTCATTCACTGAGGTGCAGACACTTTTTGGAAATCCACCATAGCCAAGGGGTGACGGATATGCTCCGTTATCAATAATCATTTGGTGAACTGCTTCGTCAATTTCATCAGTTGTTACACCTGGCTGCCAATAGAACATCAAAAACTTTCAGAAAAACCACCAATAACCTATAATATTTGTGCACAAAGGCAGCCCTCAGACTGCCTATTTATGTTAACTAAAAACGGAGACAAACTATAGATGGCATGATAGCTTCAAACCCAGAATGTAGCCTAAAACGTATAGGATTCTACAATGAAACGGAAAAAAAAAACTGAACGATAGATTAAGCAGACATGCATTCTGTATCACCTTCACTAAGGTCCCAGCATAATTAAGAACCTGAGCTGCAAGCCTTCCAGAAGCTCTCATGTGTTCTATGCCCTTTAGATCATGTACTTCTGGGCCACTAACAATCCCAGGAGCCATCTGAGTTTTGACATAAGGTGGCCCTTTTATATGCTTTGGAACAGGTCGATGAGGAGATAACTTCCCAGGTCTCAAACGTTTGCGCTTGCTGTTTGGAACTTCACCCAAATTGCTCCTGATTATGACCATTGAACTGTCAAAAATATGGTTTCTGAATTTGTACGTTCCTGTTTATGCACGTTTCTTAATAGCTATTAAGTATGCATTCTTTTCCCAATATCACACATTCTAATGCATTTACTATTAGAAAACCATATAGATTACCAAGGACAAGGTAAGAAGAAGCATTCTTTTCCCAATATCACTTGATAGTATATGAATTATGAGAATCTCTTCCAGCAAATTACCTTCTAATAAATATCACCTTCTAATGAATAAAATATGAGAATTTCTTTTCCAAATAAAACCTTTTATTACATGAAATATGATTCAACATCACCTTTTAATACATGATGTGTGAGAATAAATTATAAAAAGTTAAATAGATTGTCAATTTCCTCTGCTTGAGATTTGTAAGCAACAGAAACATACAACAAGGCTATATATAACACATAATATTATCATGCCAAAAGATATTCATTAAAATGTAAAATCTAAGGGGGGGAAATGAGGCGCTGTTTCTTGAAACCGTGAAACAAATAGTAAACATGAGCATTCTGAGAGTTCTCTAACATACCTTCGATTAAATAAGATATTGGTTAAGCCAGAAAGCGATCTGGATAATTGCATAGACACATGCTTACGACCTGGTAATGCAAATAAAAGGAAAGGTGGAAAAAAAGGGTTAATGCCCATCTTTACTCTTTAGTTCAATCTCCTTATGAACAACATAGTTCATATCTCAAAATATAAAATTCTGACCAAAAATGCAAAATCTCGATCATATGTCCATACTTAAACTAATATTTAAGAAGAGTATAATTACCTATATTCCAGCAAGAATATGCTTTTTGGCAGAGTGGCATAGCTTTACAACATTCAAAGTCAGAGCTCCCATAGAATTTTAAAATATGAAAGGCAATACTGCAACTATGCTAAATAGTTAAAAGGTTCTTAATTTCACAAATCCAATTTGGAATCAAAACTCTCTTCCACTATTAGATTGAATAATAATCGCAACAACAAAAAATTAACTGTATTTCTAAGGCGATATTCAGACCAGATTAGCTTCAACCAACATGGTCATGAAATAACTGTAATCCAAATCCTAGTTTACTTGCACAAATATATACATAAAATCAGCATTCAAACTCAAATCAGTCAACGTCTCATCTAAACACCATAAATTTCCATATGGGTTTCTAGTATATCAGCTTATTCTCAACGAAAATAAGAAAATCAAAATAATAGTCGTTATATCAGCAATGGAAATTCTGAAACAGCAGAACTTAAATGTAAATAAAAAAAGAACCTGGGTTGTAATGAAACAGCTGAGAAAGAGGTTGGGTTGATTGAACTAAACGATCACCAACAAAAGAAGAAAACATTCTTGGTTGCAAATAAGAAGCCCCCACCATTTTTTTTTTCTTTTCTCCCTCCACTCTCCCCCTCTGTTCTCTGTTGAGGTTAAACTCGCTTCTGGATAAGCTAAAGATAACCCACTTTTCCTTCCCTCTCATTTTCTCGGGAATTTATGTATGAGTAGCCCAATTTTAAATTTAGGGCAAAACCCATATCCGTTTCGAGAATGGAACTAAACAAGGCTTTTTGAATAGCTTCGATTAAACTGGCCTCGAGTTGATGGACAAGCAAATTAAGTCCTTGTTGTAGAGAAATAACATGGGCTGGATTTTTTCAAAGGATTATAGCATAAATCTTGAGTGAGATGAAAATATGAGATTAGAATATTGATTTTTAAGTTTGAGTCGAATGCACTTTATATAATATATGTATATCATATATAAAAAATATATAAAAAAATATACATGTATTGTATATGGTTATAAAAACTATTTAAATCATAATCAAATAATATCATAAATAGTAAAAATATTTATAATTAAATTTAAATAAAAAATTAAAAATTTAACTCGACTAAATAAAATTTCAAGTTAACTTTAAATTATAAAATAAAATTTCTCAATTTAAATAATTTAAAACTTTTTAATTCAACTTGATTCAATCTGATATAACTCTGGATAAGTTGAGTTGCAAAGAGACAAAATAAATAAAAGGGGGAAATGAAGTAATAAACGAGTTTCATCATTTTTGTTAATATTGTGAAATGGAGGTATAGTGAAAAGGGTAGGGGCGCGTGAATTTCGGTGATGGTCGAAGGCACGTGGAGCTGTCGTTGTGTGGTGGGGTCTCTAGACGACATGATTTGGGAATCCAATGCGCCACTTTCGTCATTCACGATGGGTTTTGTTGGCCAGCCCCACTATTTACTCTTCTTTTATTTAACACAATTTCCAAAATTTTTAAGTAGTATTACAAGATGCGTATTTATCGAAAAATCTTCCTATTTTTTTATTTACGTATTAAATTTCATTAGAGAGAATATTATCAATTTAATATTTTTTTATAGAAAAGTACGAATGATGATTCACACCTTATATTGATATTGCGTCACGTGGAGTGCAAAAATATGCTAGATTCGTAAATTTTTCTAAAATGATACCTAATAGATAATTAATTTTTGTTAAAGAGATATTTATGTAAAAACATCATCTTTCTTTTATATATATTTTTTAAACTTTCTCCATTAAAATCTTTAAGTATATTTTTACAAATTATTTTATAACTCAACAAATTTTGATTTTTGCATGAAATTACACAATATAATTATGTCTACCAATTATCATTTGACACTTTCTAATGCATTTTTACCTTTTTCAAAATCATATACGTATAGTTTAGTCTAGGAAAACTTTGAGGATAAGTAATTTAAAATATGAATAATTTTATAAAAGTTTTATAACTAGTATTTCTTTTTCAAAATGATGATGATGATATTAATAATAAGAAATATTTTATAATTTAAAAATTTTAAATTTCAAATATTTTTGAAAATTTTCTTAACTTTTAAAATTAATTGTTTAAAAATATAAAAATATTAAAATAAAATTTTAATTACAATTGAGGGATTAAATGAATTATTATTCATTAATTATTATTTTTTAACAACAGTTAATAATTTTGATAATTTATGGTCATAGTACTTAATTTTAAAAATGAATACACATTATTTAACTTGGGTCCAGGATCTCATTTGTACCGCCAAAATTTGTTGAAAATACATCTATATAGGATTGTTTTTACTTGAATAACTAATTTTAGGCTGTCAAAAAGAAGACATAGCCAGCAAATTTAAACCGTTTCTCCCGGCAAAAAGAAGACAACCCAAGCGACCTGACGTTATGCTGTTTTCTAGAGGGAAAAAAAAGGAATGAAAAAGAAACAGCAGCATTCACAATTACGACCTCACTGTACATTATTAGAGAGTTTCGTGTCCCAGAAATACCGGTAGGTTATTTGAGCAAAAGGACAAGACAGTAGTAAACACCAACCATGGATCATATATTCATATGCTATTCATTATTTTCTTATGTCGCGTTTCAATTAATTTTTCGAGATTATTAGATCCAACCTCTCATGCAAAGTAGTGGCGGATGTACGGGTATGTTAGAATAATTATCTACTTATATTGAAATTTGAATTTTCTTCGATTAATAATTATTTATACAAAAATGGGTAAAGTACATAAATGGTTTCCAATTATATGGCATTGTTTTGTTGAGTTTATCGACTATTAAAAGTGTTGGGAATTTGAAAGTGGAAAAATAGCTAAAACAATATCAACATAAAATAAGATATGTACAAGAGACGAGATTTAACGTGGTTCGGCTTTGTCTACCTCCACGAGAGAGACGAACAATAATTCACTATAAATGTAGAGAACAAGAAGAGTACAAGTAAATGATATCACATGTATCACAAAACTCGGTATAAATACCAAAACCCAATGTATCCTAAAAACTCTTATCTATATAGTCGAATATTTGGTGACAAAGAATTCTTACCTAAAATAAATATTTATTTTATTAAATAAACCTAATTTACCAACTAATTTTCAACTACTATAATTGCAATAAAATTAAACTTAATCATCAATTATAATTTGGGTGAAAATATAACAAAAGTTACAAAATAGTCATGACTATGGGGTGTTGTTTTGTTGAGTCCCCCAACTATTAAAAGTTACAAAATAGTCACCCGACTATTCATATGTTCCAAACCATTCCTTTTCTTTAAAAAAAATTGATGACAATCTAAGCTGGACGTTAACATACTGAGTGAAATATACTAAAATTTGATTCTATTATGTATTTTACCCTACAAAAAAAATTTGTGTGATTAATATGTATGTGTCTGCCCTAACACGTATTCAGGAATCTGCCTCTAGACAAAATAAGGTATCCCATCTCTTCGCTGAATTCAGATATCACAATTAATTATTAGGTAGGTTTCAATAGAACCACTTTCAACAAAGATTCCAATTATTTATTTCCATTCATTTATTATCATTTGGGGGGGGGGATCTATACAAATGGTTTTTAACTGTTAAAGTGCTGCTTTTTACAGTCCCCAAGAGAAAGCACTCGGTGTAACACAATAGGATATTAATATTGCAATTATTGTACAGAATCCACCCTAACTTACTTGAAAAAGATAACTATCATTACTATTGAAAGTGTATTTTGTAGGACATTTCAGTTAAGTAGTCTTTAGTTAGCTTTACAATGTTAAACACCTTCAACATTATTAACAAAAATTAACCAGCAAAGACTGTCATGCTTGAAGACAAATGGGTACATTCATCTCGTTTCATACAAAAAACTGTCATGCTTGAAGACAAATGGGTGTTTTCAGATGTTGTACAAATGACATTAATGTCATTTGGACCCCATTTTATGAAAGAATCATAGCTCTTTTCTAAAGGAAAATAAACTAGGTTTTTTGGTGCTGGTCTAACTTTTAAACAGAAATAATAAAAGAATGTAAAAAGATAAATAATAAAGAAGGTAAGCACAAGTCCCACTCATTATTATATCCTTCAAGTCTGATTTATGTTTCCTATGACTTCAAAAAGAAGCAAAGCAAAGATAGATGGAATCAGGGAGGGACCCCAGAACTGTCTTCAATATCACAAATTAAACTTAGTTCAATTAAATGGAGGAACGCATGACTTTATATTTAGGAGACGAGTTTATAAAATGTAAAGAGATAAAAACATATTATCAAGGGTTAAGATCCACTTACACCTAGTGTAAAATTTTTAGTTTTTCACCTTTTTAGGATCGTTAGATGAGAGGAAATGAAAGTCTTACATTAACCTCATTGTTTTTTTAGTGAATATCTTCACATTTCTTACTGTTAATCTCAGTCTTTAATTTCCCCTCATCCAACGATCCGAAAAAGTGTAAAACTACAAAGTTTTACCCTATGTAATTGGATCCCGCCCCTATTATAAATAGAAAATATAAATAAAATACCTAAAGTATATGCGAATTTGAAATTTTCAGAAGAGGGTAATGTCCCACGACTATTTGATCCATCCCTGTTGATGATTTATGTCTTATTTCAGAGTTAATTGTATCATATGTCCCTAAACTATGACTCTCATTTTAAACTGATCCTTAAACTTTTAAATATTCCAATTTCATTCTCAGACTATGAATCTCATTCTAGATTAGTCCTTAAACTTTTGAACATTCCAAATTCATCGCCAAACTATGAACCTCATTTTAAATTGGTGCCCAAACTTTTGAATCTTCCAATTTCATCCCTAATTTCATCCAAATATGTAAATAGTTTCAACCATAGTTTAACCTAAATTTTATTTTTTCTAAAACATATAATAATATATAACTTGGCATAACGATTTTATTAACAAGTGATGTGATTAGTATATGCGTACAATTTAGTATGAAATTGAAACGTTCAAAAGTTTGGGGACTAATTTAGAATGAAGGTCATAGTTTGGGGATGGAATTGAAGTGTTCAAAAGTTTGAGGACTAATATATAATTGTAGTCATAGTTTAAGGATGAAATTGAAATATTTAAAAGTTTAGGGACTAATTGAAAGTGAATCATAGCTTGAAAACATATGATGAAAATAACTCCTTATTTCACTAAATCTCTTTCCTAAATTTATAATAAATAAAAAGGACCAACTAATAACTTATCAAGATAGTAAATTTAGTTGTAATCAAATGATTTCACATACCTTGTTTGCTTTCATTCTACTATTATGCATTGAGATTCTTCATTTTTGCTTTGGTTTTTATTCCACTAAATTTTTTCCACCCCTCAACAACTCTTTCTTTTCAATTTTTTTTTTCTTTTTGGCTAGACTTTCTTTCAATTAAATCTTTTTCCCCTACTAATTTGTACCATAAAGGGATTGCAAAGCCCTAAAGTTCTTTGTTGATCCTTTTGCATGAAGGAAAATGTGCAAAAAAGTAAAGACCAATTATAGTGCTTTTGGTGCAATTGGATCCACCATCATTAATAGTTTTGACCTGATGGGACTCCCTTAAAAGGAGAGTGTGGGCCTTCTTTATTCTCATATTCTGCTTTGGAGTATCTATGAATTT